GATGGTGAGTGGAGGTGGGTTGGAGGTGTGTTGGTGGAGGAGAGCGGCGGCTTCAGAATAGCCAAGGTGTCTCCAAACAGCAGTTTGTTTTGGTTTGATGCTGATGCTCAAGGGCGACATCTACTGGGTCAGAAGATTCAGAAGGAAGAAGACATTCTTCCTTTAAAAATGTTCCATGCCAGTGCTTCATTGTGAGTTACACGTTGGACATTTGAACCAAAGAGGGATGAGAAGTTACAGCGGTTTCCAAAATCTACAAATATCAGAAAGTTCCTCACAGGAGGTTTATAAGAGTAGTGCTCATACCTTAGTGTAGAATTTGACCACTGTCACGTAAATATAGTATTAAAAGCATTTCAAAAGGAAAGTTTACATGTTTTGTTCTTTGTTACTCATCATGTGACCACACTGAATGATGTCATGTTGTGTTGTGTTTCAGGATGGGTGCATTTTACGCTCCGGGTCTGGTCGGCATCAACCTGCTCCGCCTCCTCAGCTCCATGTACTATCAGTGCTGGGCTGTCATGGCCACAAACGTCCCCCACGAGAGAGTCTTCAAGGCCTCCAAGTCCAACAACTTCTACATGGGTCTGCTGCTCCTCATCCTCTTCCTCAGTCTCTTACCTGTGGTCTATACCATCATGACGCTGCCGCCTTCGTTCGACTGCGGACCCTTCAGGTAACAATCAGACATAAACCTTGAAGTGTAAGAAGCTTAAAAAACCAAAAGGAAAGCATACTGATGCCGCTGATTTTTGCAGTGGGAAGGTAAGATGTTTGATGTGATCATGGAGACGATCGATCTGGACCTGCCGGCTTTCCTGGGGACGCTGTTCAGCTACGCAGCCAACCCGGGCCTCATCATACCGGCTGTGCTGCTCATGGTGTAAGTGTGGAGGAGATTCTCACACATTTACCAATGAATGCATCCTCTTGCAAAGACGCAAACGCAAGTGAATGATCACACTGCTTGTTGTTGTTGTTGTTGTTTTGTGGTGGTGGTAGAGTGTGAGTCTAAAAAAAAGATGCAAAACTTTGTTGCATTTGAAGCTACTGAAAACCACAAATCCTGTCATTCTCCTCTCCAGACTTGCCATCTACTATCTGAACTCCGTGTCTGAGGCCTACAAGAACTCCAACACGGAGCTGAAGAAGAAGATGCAGATGGTAAGTGAAGAAAGGAGGTAACATTAGTTTTACCTTCTTCATCATATACTGAGCAAGATGCTACAATAGAACTAAAAGCAGTCTACAGGATTCAGAAACTTATTTAGCAAAAACCAAACAAAATAAGTGAAATGACAATCTCAGCTGTATTATTGGTGAATATTTGCACAAGAAATGCAAATCCAAGAAGGCTTACACAGTAAATGTTTACCTACAGTAAACACCAGCATGCTCAAGTGATTTTGAGCATGTGAACATGCTGATGTATGTCTGAGGCTAATGGCTGAATCCAAAAGTCTTCCCTCAGTGTAAAGCATCAGTAGGACAAACTGTGATGTGTTTACTGTCATCATGTCATCTTTAAGTCTGCAGAGGGCGCTGATATAAAGGCCTGAAGATGTGCAAAAAATATATATTTTTTGATTTCCTCTGAAGCTGATACTTCTGCATAGTTATCCTGTGTGCTAAATAGTTTCTGTCCACATGATTCAAATAATATTGTAATGAAGTAGTTGTTCTTTCACATCAATAAAAAGTTATTTTAGGTTTATTTTTGTTTGTATAAGGAAAACTACAGGTCCATAGTTATTGCATTAGATTGTCAGAGAAATGCAGAGAAAGTCTGCCTGCGCTCTTTGAGGATTGGATCAAGTGGGGGTCTTAAGAGTCCTCAGTACTTGTAGACTTATCTCAAAGGTCACATGCAAAGTCTGCAGGTCTGCAGATCACTAAAGTCTGGACACTTTAACTCAGCCTGAGCAAAGCCTCTTTTTGCTGTTTCGTACACATTGTTGTACAGTTCTGCAGGAGCTTTCACAGTTTTTGGTTGGAAAGGAAAATGTCCTGTGACTTTCTCTGCTTTTTATGTAATGGAATAAGAGGAAATGGGAAACACATATTTAAGCCTCATGGTTGTAATGGGAAACATGTTCTTTCATTTCCAGTAACACACACACACTGTAGTTTATTTGGAATCAATCTCACACACACACGTGCAAGCATGCACACCCACCCTCACACACACACAGACACATAATGTTCTTCTGTTGTAAATTCTTACCCGAGCACCCACTAAAAATAGTCCCGCCTGCATAAAATTTGCTGTTAACAAAAGGATCCATTTGTTTTTTTAAATTACCAAACCCACTGAAACCTTCTTACTTGTGACCAACTTGTGTTTTTTTTTCTTTACACACATGCCTTCAACAGAAGCAAAAGGCGTAGGGCGAAGTGTTACTGTCATCTTAGAGATCACACAGTGTTGATAGAGACTTGAAAATAGTTAGTTTTGCTCTTTTCAAAGTATTTTGGTAACAAAACAAAACTATACAACAGCCATATCCTTAAATCTTCTTCTTGCAGAATCTTTAACTGTTAGTACAACCCCTCCACTCTTCCTCCACTGTCTTCTATTTCTTACTTAATCTCTTATTTTGTATCATCTTATCCGTCTCTCTCCTGGTCTGTCTGTCCAGGCTCGAGACGAAGAGAAAAACCGCAGGAACAACACAGACAGCACCAACCAGGTCATGAAAGACCTGGAGGACCTGCTGCCGAACCGGTCTCTGGCGCCTCCTGCTCCCCCTGAGCCTGGTTAGTAAACTCCTGATTGGTTGTCCAATTAGATTTACATGGACATAATAAAAGTGAATAATCACATCTTGTATTTATTATAAATCCAAAGCTTTCCCCAGTATTAAACAATAAAAGATGTCCTTTATTCTGGATATCAAGCATTGATCAGTTTTTTGTTAAAGAATCATCTACTTATATTAAATATATACTGGAACGCTAATCCACCACGCTCCCTGTCCAAACAGTAAAGAAACCAGAGCCAGAAGCAAAGCCAACAAAAACCAAGCCGGGATCAGCAGGTAAAGGTGTGAACCTGCAGAAAGATGTGGCTCTGGCATCCCCCAACCCCAACGCTCGAGGACCCGTGAGGCAGCCCCCCGGCCCTAGAGGACCTGGACCTGGTCCTGGAGCTGGACCGGGACGAGGCCGTGGGAGAGGGCCCCCTCCGAGATAACAGAGTGAGAAATCTCCATTCATTTCACAGCAGGTGAATTAAATTATATATTAAAATAAATGTCCTCTTATTTACTGAAATCATAAAGTACTGAAAGTCCCCTGAAGTCAGTTTTTGTAATTGAAAGATGTATGAATTGTAACTTACTGTTTGGCAACACGGTGCAGTGAAAATAAGACAGATGTGCTTTTTTTTTTTGTTTTCTTCTTACATTTACTTTGTAATTCACGGTATGATTCTGACTTTGCAATAAAGTTTATAACACATCTTTGTCGTAGCTAAGTCTACATCTTTTTATTCTCAGCTGCTGAGATCAGCAGCTAGCTTCTTTTGTTGGACCCTCAGTCCAACCAACAGTTTTATCTCCAGGAAGGAGAAACTTGGAGGAGGGGACGTGCTTTTGTGTTTGTGCATAGACTATAACTAAGAAGGGGATGTAGCCTCATGATCTTAAAAGAGAAGCTTGTTCAGAAATGTCTCAACAAACATCATTCTGCACTGGTTGCCTAAGAGAAGTCAGGTATTAGATGAGAATGTAAACCTGTTTTGTTACCTATTCAAATATTATCCTACAAAAATTACAGTCTCAATATAAAGCGGGTAATGAGGTTATGACAATAGGAGATCTTTTTTTTTTAAACGGTAATCATGAGCTGAAGGAGAGATGATTAACTGTCTATGCTAATCTGTTGAAAGTGGACAGGGCAGTGGGAGTGACCTAAAACAAAGTTACTTTACCTTTAAATGGAATTGTGCTGCATGATGACAGACTTGGAGACGGACAAACACAACCTCTCATAACTCGTCATTTTGTCTTGTTGGATGAATCATTGGACTACACAGGGTTTGTTTTTTTCCCTGACGATGGTCTGCACAGAACCTGTAGTTAAGCCACGCCCCCTTATATCAACTTTGTCCAGGTGTCTGTGTGATTAAAGCTATTCAAATGTAATGCAATTTGCAATAAACATCTTTGTACACAACAGTTCCTTACTTTTGTTACTGCTAAAATCTCATTAATGTTTCTGCCACTTTTAAACAGTAACCTAACTTATTAATCATTATGCTCCATAAACCACATCATTGTCACAAAAGCATATTTTCTTTCTTGTTACAATTTTGTGCTAACAATACCCACAATGCAAAGTGTCTGCTAACAGTTTTTTGTATATCTTCATGATTTAGCCTGAAGCTGCGCGCCTTGAGCACAAGATCGTAGGGAACTTGTTTCATTCTAACTCCTCACTCTGATTTTTGCCATTTAAAGAATTTAACCATCATCCCCCAAGTAAAATCACTGGAGGACATTCATGAGGTTTCACACAGAGGACCCCCCCCCCCCCTTCCCAGCAACTATCAGCTCTAGAGAAAAATGTTGAACATCAGGTTCAATCTTATAATTATGCAAAAAGTAGTTACTTTAAAAAATGAACTACGTCCGACTGTCCTCGTTCTCTGCATGTCTGTGTGAATCTTACACAACAGAGGAGTCACCCAACCTGTCAGAAGAGCCCGATCCTCTGACTGTCACCTCACAGGAATGTTGTCTCAGAGAGGTGGATGGTGACTTGCCGATCCACTTTAAGTGTAAGTAAACCTGCCTGTTGAATCACCTGCACAGAGATGGGTGGAGACACACAGCAGGGTGAGTTAAATAGTCACTCCTGAGATCTGCAGACCGCAGTGTGACGACGATCTGCAGGAGTACAGGTGAGCTTTTTATACGATGTTTGAATATGAGGAAGAAGACACATCTCAGGCATCTCTAATACTTAATCTCATTCTTCCATTTTTCCTTCAACAGAGACATTTTGTCTGTTTATTACTTTAAAGCCAAGTCAACATGTCTGCGTTCAAGAAATTCTTCAACAACGTCATCCATAACCAAGACATCGATGACGAAAATATCAAAGTAAGTGTCAGAAAAATCAAAATACAGCAGCTGTTTGATTACATTTCTATATGATTCCCTGTTTTACAACATTTTAATAGGCTGTAGAAATTATAGTTTTATTGGTTTTTTGTTGCAATGAAATGTGTTTTATGATTATTCTGGAGGTGAAATAAGTGTTTTTGTAAATGGAGTGTGGTGGGGCGGGGCGGGGGTGTGGCCTACAAGCCCTTACAGTATGTTTTGACCTGAGATCCTGGAGCTCTTGTGTGACAGCTTTTGAATTTGAATGCCAAATACAACGCCTTTTTACCTTACAATCAAAAGCAACATATTCAGAAGTGAAATAACCTGACAAAGACCTCTCTTAGACATTCAGAAGTTGAAGAGAAGCTCAAAATCTTTCTTTACTTTTCTGACAAAAAGCGTTACGTTTTTCTGTGACTTAATGATTTAGTTGACTAAATGACAGCTGTTGTTTTTGGTTTGCAGCACCTTTAGTTAGAAAAATGTCTGATTTTTTTATACCTGTGGTTTTAAGGTGAAGGGGAAGGTGAAACGAAAGTATTACGGAACAGTCGCAGAGTATCCAAACTTCAGTGCCAGCAGTGATGCGTCTGTTCTTCAGACAGCTATTGAACATCATGGTAAGTAATGTGAAATAACTACAACAGCGAGGTTAATGTCCCCTCTCTGAATGACATATTGAGCTGGGAACAAGCCACGCTGCTCCTCTGGGTTTCATTGTTTCATTGTTGTTCTGAGGAACACTTTTTCTCTTCATCTCTGCACATAGAGCATGTATTTTGGTTTTTATACAGTCTGTTGATTAGATGCTTAAAGAGTAAAATCAAAATAAAATGTGTCCCTGACAGAAGTGGACGAGGATGTGATCGTTTCAGTCCTGGTGAAGAGAAACAACGTGCAGAGGCAGAAGATCAAAGTCACTTATGAAGCTTCTACTGGAAACGTGAGTGATTAAAAAAACAGACAAAAATAAATTCTGGAAAGTTATTGGAGTTTGAAATTTTCTGCAAAACGTCCTCTGAGTTCACCATGCAAAGTGTTCAGGGCTTTTATAGATTTACAACACTATTAAGGTACATTTTGTGACTTGAACAAATATTTTAAAACAAAGACGAAGACACCTCGCACACTGCAGGACCCTGATATTGCATAAATGTATTTCTCCTTGTGGAATACATTTATGGAATATTTTGTCTTAGTTTTAAGTGATTTTTTTGCTCGACTCTGCAACCGCCCTTTTTGGATGTGTGTGTTTTCTCAACTGTTGAACAAGTAATTTAAAATCAAAGTTGCAATCAAAGTTCTTAATTTTGGATTGTGTATCAGATTTTTTTAAAGTTCCTTCATTTTTATGTAAATATTTTGCTTATTTCATCTTAAACCTTTATTATTAGACAAACTAAAGAAACTCCAGGGGGTTTTGCTGACTAAAACCTTGCTCAGTCTGGTATGACCAGTTTGAATGTGGCCAGTCAACAAGCTCTACATGCTCGACATGAACATCCTGACTTACTTTGTCATGACTCTCCTGTAAAAACAGATAATTCCACTGGACAGATGACTTTTTCTCAGTGTATACCTTGTGAAAATCGTGTCAGTTGTTGGGAAAGTTGACTACATATCTCCACTCTAAAGTAAAACTTAAGTAAAGTCTTGCTTTTAAGCTGATACATGTAGCATCTGTGGTAGCAATGTAATGCACACTCACATGAAATGTAAGATGTTGTGAAATCCCCTAGTTATCACATTGTTTTACACTCATGCCTCCACTTGGCTGCTCCCTGTGCGTCTTAGAGGCTGGACGAAGCTCTGGAGTCGGCTCTCAGGCACGACTTAGAGGATGTCACCATGGCCCTGCTCATGACGCCCTCTCACTTTGATGCCTACGAGCTCAGGCAGGCCACCAAGGTAAATGTCATCGCTTGTTCTATGATTTGTGATTCAAATGTTATATTATTCTACACGGTACACACAGAGTATCTTTATATTCAGAGAGAATGAGTGAATCAAATTGATGAAAAGTGATGCACTCAAGCCCATCATTTATATCACAAACTTCATTTTAACCCTGCAATGTGTTGGAGTTGACCGAATGTTACCCCCTTAATGGAACTAGGGAAATGTTTGGGGTATACGCCGTCATCCTTAAGTCCCCCCTTAAAGACACATCTTCTTCCTTTCTGATTGCTTTTAACTGCTGTGAACCCAGCATATCATTGATTTATTTATTTAAACTTGCCACTACAAACATTTGCTCTTTTCTAACAGGGTCTGGGCACCGATGAAGACGTGCTGGTGGAGATCCTGGCAACAAGGACAAATAAAGAAATCGAGGATATCAAGAGGGTCTACAAAGAAGGTGTGGACAAATTCAGTGTTGGCGCACTTCCTGAGCTCTGAGGCCCTGAAGGGATTTCAAATTTTATGAAAAATCTTTGCTATTTGCCTGTCCGTCAAACGTAGGCACAGCAGTAAAAGAAAGTTGAATTCCTCGACCCCACAGCCCTGTAATAACACGGTTATGAAGACTGAACTTCTGCTAACTCCACCAGTGCAGCCAGACTCTATTCAGTTATGTCTGTTATGTTACAAAGTCTGTTTGGGCTAATAGTTTTTTTTGTCCCTTCAGTGTATGAAGTTGAACTGGAGGAAGTCATTAAAGATGAGACCAGCGGTGACTTCACTACGGCCCTTCTGGCCATGTTGAAGGCTGAACAAGACGAGAGTGATCACGTCGATATGGATTTAGTCCAAAAGGATTCAGAGGTAAATCAGGGGGGAAAAACTCAAAGGAAAAAGCTGTTGTCCTTCAATATTTATCTACTTCCTGTGTGAGTCCGAATCCAATTGGTTCCTAATGAAGGGGTAAAATCTTTTCTCATGGGAGGAATCCTTTCTTTGTGTCGATCTTGGACAAATTAGTACGTCTTATCTCTCAGCTGATTTTATTCTGTACATCTACAAGTAGGACTTTCTGTCAAAAAATGTCTCTTAACAATCAAACCATATTACATTACCTGTTGAAGATGTCACTGTTATGCCTTAGTCCTTTTCACATTGTGATTCTGCAACAGGTGTTACGGTGCGGTGTGTAAAACAAGGGAGGTGGACCCAAGTGCGGAAACAACAAACTATTAATTTAAAATAACAATGAAAATTCCAAAACACAAAAAAACAAGGAGACACTAGTAAACTGACGACTGACTGACATACCACAAACACATACAACATACAATGAACTGACCCAGGAGGGAAAAAACACAGAGACTAAATAAACACAGGGGTCATCAAACACAGGTGAGACTAACAAGACACAGGTGAAGACAATCAGGGCAATCACACTGGGAAACACACAGGCAGGAATACAAGAAACACAGAGGACAACTACAAACAAAATCATGAAACACTAAAAACACACAGAACTCAAGAATGAACAAAACACACTAGAACAAGAAGAAACACTAAACACTGAAAAACCAAAACTAAAAAAAGACCAAATCATAACAACAGGGACATAAAAAAGTTCTTCCGTCAGTGCATCCTCAACAGCATAATATTGATGTCCCAGTGTGTGATTTCACATTGCGTTTCAGTGTGAGGAAGCATTAGAGTCAGGACGTGTACACACAGCGGGAGCTTCACACACACATGATGCTGTTTGATCCTGCCGGTTCCAGTGTTACACATTACCACCATCTCCCTTTGGTTACGCCTCAGTGACCACCTCTGATGCTGAATCAGGGGCTGAACGACTTTGCCACACTATTCGGCCTCCATGCATTACACACTGCAGACCAGGTGTTGTTTCAGCAGCAGAGCGTCTCACCACAGCGTCACACAGCGATCTGTAATCTGATTCACGAGCTGTGTGGACCCAAAATAAACCGTTTTTGCTTTGAGTTAAGTTGCAACAAAAGTCTGAATAACCTGATCAAGAAGCTGTTTTTGCGAAGTGTAAAAATCTAAATAATGTTAGGTCTGTTGGCAAGACACATTATGGTGCAATCTTGAAATATCAAGAGAATCTACAAATCGTGTACAAAGGATTAGCATTGTGCTATTCCTGTTGCCATTGTAAAGTTGGTACATTATTTCTTTGTTTAGCAGTGTGACTCAGCAGCTTTATCCTAAGAAGATCATTTTTATTAACTGGTGATGCTGTGTCACTGTTTTGTTCCTGCAGACTCTGTTTGAGGCAGCTGAGCATCCTGAAGGAATCAACGTTTCCACCTTCATCAACATCCTGACCTCTCGGAACGCAAAGCATCTCTCTAAGAGTGAGTGTCTGAAGTGTTTGACTCCTTTAAGCTGCTGGGTTTCAGAGGCTCAAACAGCCAAAACCTCCCTTTCAAACACCAACACCTTGAAAAACAGGTTTGAACCACACCTGCAGGTAATCAAGGAACAGGGGAACACACCCTACGTTTAGCCACGATAAAGAGAAAATCTTTTAGTTTAGTCTGGAGTTGATGGCTTATTTATGGGGAAATAAAAAACATTTATGGATTCTTATCGGCTTTGAATATCTTTTGAAGGTTTATTTAAGCACACATCATTAATGCAATTTTCAATCTTAAGATCATTTCTTTGTGCTACAAATTGTCTGTGTTGCTCAAATTTACTAAAATGACTTGACCAATAATACACATTTTAATGGAATGACTAAAAAACAAGCTTTTATTTATACTTCTTACAGTATGAATTGTGTGTCTAAAGATTACCTTAAACCAGATGAAGCAGGTTTTTCTTAAATCCCACAGCTGGTTGAGGTATCAGTATTCAGTGCATGCACTTAATATAATTGCATTAACCATTTATTCTAAATACTTGTTATTTTCTGTTTACCTTCTAGCATTCCAGAAATATGCCTTGGGCAGTGACTTGACATTACCTAAGGCTCTGGACCTGCATCTTAGTGGTGACATTGAAGACTGTCTGCTGGACATTGGTGAGATATTTCAGCAATTATTTTCCTAATGTGAACAGATTTGGTCTCACTTTTGATGGTTAAGGAGTTCACTTACAACAAGTTTAAAAAGCCCTCCAAACCAGTTACTCAACGGGATTAATGAGAACTGCATGGACTCAGTTTTGGTCATTTATTTTACATGAGATTCTTCATCCTAATCATTTTTTTTTTTATCTTAATGTTCAATTTGAAACCTTTTTAAAATAATTTTTGACAGGAACATTTTGGAGTATTTAAAGTACATCTCTATCAGAAGGAGGTGTAAAGTGTAAAAAACTGAGTGAGTCCCAGCTTAAACCTGCAGAATCAGTTTCTCTTGCAGCACTAGTGCTGTAGTATTTTTTTTGAGTGTCCCAGGAGAACCACAGGCTACCAGTCTACAGTTTGGATTTTGAATCCTCTTTGCTTAATTTGCAAAGGCAAGGTAAAACAACACTTGCACCTTTATTCCAGCCAGACAAGACAACTAAAGGAATGCATCAGAGTGATGCCAAGGCTGCAGCTGCAGCATGCGTCCTGCTACATAAGCACTGATGATACTACAGCACTGTAGCAGGAGATAATCAGCCCTTTCTGTCTGTGGAGCATGGCCACCTTCAGTTATCTACATTTATTATCAACAGACTGGACATCCTCATAAAGTTGCATTTTATTATTGACAAGCGTTGACTTAATTGTTGATCAACTGATGTTTAAATGGAGAAGCTGCTATCAAGACTTCAGCTTGTGAGGTTCAGCTACATTAAAGTCACATTAGACTTCATGTAAGTGTAACTAATACTCACATGTTTGTGTCTCTTTGTTGTTCAGTGAAATGCTCCTGGAACACGTCGGCGTTCTTCGCTGAGAAGCTCCATAAGGCTATGGACGTGTGTATAAATACTCCATCTTACCCTCTAAGCAGATGTTGAGAGTGCATATCTGTGTGTATGAGTGTGTTAATGTGTGTACATGTGGATCTCTTTTTTAAGATTTACTGAACTAACATTACTGAAACAAAACACATATTGTACCTACAACAACTGTTTTGTTTGCTAATAACTTTGACTTGTTTTTGGTAAGAATTAGGTAACTTTAATCTTAAAGGCTTGGCATCATTTTGGAGGGAATTTAGATACTTTTTTTCCTGCTCACTCTGAGAGAAACATGGTCCTGGATGTCTTAATTTAAATTGTATTGTCTTTCTGTCAGGTGTCTATTTGGGATTTTAGACAGAGTAGTGCAAATCTAAGACATGTACTGTATGTCATATTACGTTGAAATCAAATGCAAGTACTGTGCAAACTGAGTATGACATCGGCTTCTTTGTCAATCCCTTTTTTGCAGCTGACTCAATTTGGAGCTCTGGCCTCCATTAATAATAATAATAAAGACAATGACTAACTGTAAGGGAAGTTATGCACAGATGTAATGTGAACTGCTACATAAATTCAACTTATGTCATCCTCTATCCAAATGTTTAGTAATGTTCCTTAAAGCTGTGGTTGTGCATACATGTTTACACTTATTCATGTTGTGTAAACAAGCGTGCAATATGGGATAATATGCAATATTAGAATGCAATAATATGCAGTATGTTGGTGTGGTTGTCATTGGTAATCTGTCTACATGTGTGTTGTTTGAAATGTTGATTATTGTTATTTATTAGTTCTACTGTGGAGGAGCTAAATGTGTATAGTTTTTGCTACAGGGGGCAATAATGCATCGTATCATATGGTTAACATACACATATTTAATGAAGACACTTAACACTACAGTAGTTTGCACATAGTGGTGTTTGCAGTCAACCATCCTCTGCTCTGTTCTCACAGGGTTATGGCACATGTGAGCAAACTCTCATCCGGGTGCTGGTGAGCCGCTCTGAGGTGGACCTGAAGAAGATCGTGCAGGAGTACAGGGCTATGTATGGAGTTAGCCTTCAGGACTCCTTAGTGGTAAAGTATCCAAACTATTAAGTATTCACATTTTCCCTGATGTCTACCATTGTGTTTCCCCCAAAATTAAGTTCAGCGAAGAAGCCAATGACTTTATTGTATCAGAGAATTTCTGCTGATTATGTCTTTTTCTCTGTTTCACAGAACGACACAAAGGGACACTATCAGGCTGTTCTGCTTGGACTGTGTGGACCTTTCTGAAAATCTGGTGTTACCTACTTACTAGAAATAAATCTTGTCTCACACTGTGTAAAATTATGACTCATTTGACATAAATCTCTGAAGTGCTTTCCCAACATCATTAATATGTCTGACTTTAACTAGTGTTAAAACAGCTTATTCACATGAATGCTTATCCTGTGTTATAAATGTTTTTAACTGTTGGTTAGTGTGGGTTTGTATCTTTCTGTGCTGTGTCTTTATTAAAATCTTGATGTCCAATTGAACCTACGATAAGAGTGATGAGGTCCTGATTCAAAAACTGCTTCTGGAAACTTCCTTTAAAGAAAACTTACTTGTTGTTTTTTATTGTTGCCTTTTCTTTTACAAGTTGTCAACTGTAATCGAATGGATAATAAACGACCATGCTGCAGTTAAATCTCAATTTTTAAGTAAAAATGAGGAAGCCTGAGTTACTTCTTTGACCCTGGGAACCAGTGTCAAGGCTTCATGGGAGCTGTAGTTGTTTTAATGCAGTCTGAGTAAATCTGTCTTTTTTCATAGATGATTTTAAAATGATACTGTAGTAAATTCAGCAGTAGAAACTTTGCAAGTTCGTATCCACTAGGAAAACAAAAGAAACACATATTCCACATACACTTCTACACAATAGTTTGATCTGGTACTGCAAAATGACTGAAAATACTACTCAAGACGGGAACACTGTGGGACTGAATCTAATTTTGTAATTTGTGGGGACAAAAAAATACAACATTTTATGAATACATTTGGTGTCTGAATTATTTTATCTTCATATAAATACCCAATATGGAGGGGAAGAAGACTGAAAATATTCCAAAGATTAAAATGGTTATATATGTTTTAGTTCAAAATAATCAATTGGCTACACTGAAATACTGGAAATGTCTTACAAATTAAATAAGGACAAATCTCATTCCAAATATAGGCTACAGTCTGAATCATGAGATTAAGACAAAATCTGGAATTTCTTAGTAATTATTGTAAACATTATTTATATATAACAAGCATCTTGAAATTTTAAAGAAATAAGTCAGATGTTTTTCCCAAGCCAGTATAATCAGGGAAATGAAGGCGTAATTGTAAAGATTTTGAGACAAAGTTTTGCTTTCCAGATGTCGTTGTCAAATAAAAAAAACACCATAAAAATGAAGTAATTCAGAGTAAAATAAACTGAACTCATGTAGGTAAGCCAAAGACTTTAAATACATTGATAATACACAGTCTATGACAGGGGTGTCCAAAGTGTGGCCTGAGGGCCATTTGCGGCTCTTGAGGGGATTTTTTGCGGCCCGTGACTTCAAATGAAGAATCAGAAGATTTTGGCCCGAGGCCTTAATTAAGATTGGCACATTATCTTATTTTTCTTTTTCATGTTAACAAGGGTGGAACAATATTCCTAAAATAGAAAATGTTCAGTAACATGTATGTTGTTGCTTTTTTAAATCTACAGCTTTTACTATTTTCCACATTTTTTTGTAAACTATGAAAAAAAAAGTTTTTGCAAACAAGCGGACTGTTGTTTAACCATTTAATGACCTGAGCTAAATGCAGAAAGCTTTTCCAAAAAAATGAACCACGTTACAGACTTGATTCTGAGAAAAATACAAATGAAGTGAACGAAGAAATCTAAATATTTGATTTCCTTTTATTAAAGGGTTTCTTTAGCAGCCTTTTGATTCTGATCTACAAAGACTTACTATTTTTTCAACTATATTCTAAAAAACAAAACCTGTGGCCCGCGAGTGATTCTAACACAACAATTTTGGCCCGCAAGAAAAAAAGTTTGGACACCACTCGACACCACTGCTCTGTGAGGTAAGCCAGTAAACTCCCACCATCATCAGCGCAGAAGTCTGAACTGCGCAGGCGCAACGTGACGTGGAATGTTTACCGTGTCCGGAAGTGCCGTGGCTCTTTGGCCAGGCTGGACGATTTATCCTGAAATCTCACTCTCTAGTTGGTATTGTATTGAAGTTAACCCACATTTCGCAAATTATTTAACTCGACTAGGACCAAAAACATTTGTTTGACGTACAACGTACTCTTAAAGAGCGTCGTAGCTCAAAACTGACGATACAAAGTGCTCATTTAACCGGCTTGCTAAACTAGCTTACAGGCTAAGAGGACTGACAGCTGACTGTATGCTGTTTCCCTGTTTACAATTAATTTAATAGATTCAGCAAGTTTGAACGAAAGACTGGGTTACAACCAGAAGCCGACTGGTCATGGTCTTCACCACACCACCAGTTTCAGGGTCGAGATGACAGAGAGGTTTTTGTTTTTGTGGACATAATTGAAGTGGTCGAGTGTGAAGATTAAACATGGAAGATAAATACAGCAGCAACGTGCTGTCAGGAGGGAAGCTGGGCATGGTGGAAGTACCCAACTCTAGGTACGTACAGTTCAGTTCACCTGTGTGAAATCATATCATTATAGTAGCTTCAAATGAAGTCATATGTTTCTAGAATAGGTCCAAAAGTATGCTTAGTATTTTGCTTCTTATATCAGGAATTACATGTTTTCTATGTATGTCTAACTAATAAGATGTCCTATAACAATGCCTGTGTCCACTGTCCAAGGTGACATTGTTAAATGTATTGTTTACAAACTCTGTATAGATTCATAATATTTTATTTTAAGGAAAACTCATTGAATCCTTACTTTAAAGAAGTAAGAACAGTTTAATATTAACTTGATGATTACTGGATTACTACATTTTCAGGTGGGGCGGCAGTAGCTCTGTAGGGACTTGGGTTGGGAATCGGAGGGTTGCCGATTCAAGTCCCGGCACGGACAAAGTCCAGAAATTGGCCTGGTAGCTGGAGAGGTGCCAGTCCACTTCCTGAGCACTGCTGAGGTGCCCTTGAGCAAGGCAACTAACCCCCCCACCAGCTCAGGAGCGCCCACTGTGGGCAGCCCCCTCACTCTGAGACCTCTCCATTAGTGCATGTCCATAGGGTCCTGTTTGTGCATGTGTGTATTTCGGCCTATGTTTGTGTAGCATGTTTACTAGACAGAGTGTAAAATCGAATTTCCCCTCGCGGGATCAATAAAAGTATATAAATGAAATTGTGATTAATTGGCTGATTTCTTCAGACATATTTAGGATACTGGTGCAAATTGTGGAAAGGCTTTAACATGACAGATCTCCAGTTGTGAAATATATGTCTTTGTCCTTTTTCTTCAGGTTAACAAGATATATAGTTTTACTCATTATTACAAAGATCCTAAAGGCCCTGGGGATCTTTGAATCTTATGATATCCTCAAAGTGGTTCACATTGTGCAGTTCATCTTCATACTTAAATTAGGGTAAGTACTCTTCCGTTGTTAATTGCTTTAGTTTCATTCCATATATCGTGGTCAGCCTTAACTTGGTGTTTGTTTTATTACCATGCAGTCAAGCCAGCCTCCGCTTGAAAAATGATGCACGTCTCATATCAAATAATAACATAATAATAATATCAAAGCGTCTCTATGTTTCTCGTCACCTGTGACAGATTTTTCTAAATAAAATATCAAAACATCAAATATGACTAAAATATCAAAGTGTCTTAATGCAATTTGAGCAGACTTTACCTTTAATTATCTCAAAAACTATACAGGAAAATCTGCAAAATATTCTCAGGACTACAGCCAGGGACCGTAAACCCGGTATAGACACACATAATTTTTCAAGTGGCGGCTGGCCTGACCGGGGTTTTGCTAAAGACGGCTCACTTGACTGTAATGTATTTTTGGTGTTGTCATTGGAGATAACATGCTAACTGCTGTCCTTCTCTTTCCCAGGAGTGCTGTTATTCTGCTTTTCTTTCAAAAGCCTTTCTCCTCAGGAAAAGCCATTTCAAAAAGACAGGTGTGTTGTAAATCTTCCCCTCTGCAGCCAGATGATTACAGTAAAACGTTGTTGTTGTTTTTACCATTTTCTCTCTGTAGATCTTATCTTAACTTTAATTTCTTTTGATTTTATTTCTGTTTCCTTCACAGTGGATAAAGTTACTAAAGCATGCTGTTTTCAGCTGCATCATCTCCCTCCTGGGTTTCTTTGGCCTGACCCTCTGTGGCCCTCTAAGGTAATGTGTGTTAGACTTTTTGTTTTGTTAACTTTATGTCTTAGTATGAGCTCATTTAGACTCAAGATGTGTTCAGGTTGTCATTAAAACTCTGGATTGTGTCTTTTACAGGACGCTGTTACTTTTTGAGCACAGTGACGTGGTGGTTCTTGCCCTCCTCGGGGTTCTGTTCACCAGCTCAGGAGGGGGACCATCCAAGGTAGGAGGTCACACAAGCTAACCTCAATTTATTTCAAAATCTGACTGTTTGACTGCAAGCATCTCCTGCATTGCGGGCCTTTGATGAAGCAGAATCAGAATCACAATAAGGTATATTGTCCAGAATGTTTAAACATACAAGAAATTGCTCTTGGTGTTTTGGTAGATTAAAATAAACATGGAAAAGTTTCAAAAGGGAAACTTCTTAAGTGCATTTTACATTGTATTATAAAATTGATGGCCAAAAGCCTGAAAATAAGACTGGAGTTTAACAGAAAAAGTACATCTTTAATAGAACAATAGTTCATTGCTATCTGCTGGGAGAAACTTTGTGAGGAGGCAGAGACTCCCACATTTAAAAACATGCTTAAAATCATATAACAGTTGTTGTAACTTTGCTTTATCTGCTGCATTTTGTGCCTGATATAAGATATTTAATAACTGCTTGCCTGTAAACACTGCCTCAGATGAATATGTCACTTTGATAGATGTGTTTTAAATTCATTTCTGTTTGTTTGTTTGTGGTTATGGGCAGACTCGAGGAGCAGCGTTATTCATCATTGCTGTTATCTGCCTTCTGCTCTTTGACAACGACGATCTCATGGCAAAGATGGCTGAGCACCGTATCCTTTCATTCCCTGTGAAGGGCAGCATTTACATCTGTTCTGTTATTGGTCTGCTCTGTTTTTGTTGTGCTTTATTTATAATATTCCTGTGTTTACATAGCATCTGCCTTAACTCGTCTTTTAACCAGCTGAGGGACACCATGACAGCGCGCTCACTCACTTCCTCTACACTGCCATTGCATTTTTAGGGGTTGCAGATCATAAAGTAAGCAAAACCCACTCAGTACATTTTATGTTCAATGCTGCCTTCAGAAGCACGGTGAAACATTTGTTTTGCTTTCTTCATGAATTTCCTCCTTCAGGGTGGTGTAGTGCTGTTGGTGGTCTCCCTGTGCCTGAAGGTGGGCTTC